CTCTGCAACTGCATCCTGGCCCATCCTCACCCTTCTGCCCCCAACCCTCACCTCCTTGTACCCCCAATATGTTTTTCCCAATAAAAAAAAAATTATATATAAAAAAATCCCTAGCTCTAAGAGAGATGCAAATTAAAACAACTATGAGATATCATCTCACCCCAGTAACAACAGAAAAGTTCAACAGAACAGCAAACATCAAATGCTGGCAAGGTTGTGGAGAAACTGGAAACCTTATTCACTCTTGGTGGTAGTGTAAAATGGTGCAACCACTATGGAAGGCAGTATGGCACTTTCTCAAAAAGTTGGAAACAGAAAAACCATTTGACCCAGCAATTCCACCACTGGGAATATATCCTAAAGAAACCAGAACTGCCACCCAAACAGATATATGCATACTCATGTTTACTGCTGCGTTGTATACAGCTGCAAAGAGAGGAAGCAACTCAAGTGCCCATCAACAGAAGCTGTGGTATAGTCACACAATGGAATACTACGCAGCACTAAAAAACAAGGAACTCATGAAAGCTTATACAAAATTGGTGACCCTGGAGGATGTTATGCTGAGTGAAATATCTTAGTCACAAAAGGACAAATACTGCATAATGCCACTGTTATAAAACAGGACTGACATGGGGCTGGAGGGGAAACAAAGAAAATAGGGAGTATATAATGAACACTTCATTGAGACAGATATGGGAGAGAACTATCTAAAAGAAATATATGAACAGGTACCGTTTGTATGACAACAGTCCAGAATAAGAGGTGTATAGCAAAGTGGACTGGGGAGCAGGGAAGAGGGAGGAAATTGTGCAACAAAATAATTTTTTTAAAGAGTAAAGCAAACTGGTCAGGGTGGGCATAGGGAGGAAAATGTGCAACAATGAATGAATAGAAATCCAAGTTTTCTGTAAACTTTCATTAAAATATATATAAAAAAGAAAGAAACCTAATTTCTCTTCTGAATATGGGCTGGATTTAGGGAACCTCTGTCTCTCTGGAGACTAAAGTGCGTCTGATACAGGCCATGGTCTTCGCAATCACTTGTTATGCATCAGAGAGTTGGACAATGACCAAGGAGGATAGAAGGAGAATTGATGCCTTTGAGTTGTGGTGCTGGAGAAGAGTATTGAGAAAACCATGGACTGCTAGGAAAACAAACAGATTCATCCTGGAAAGGGTTAAACCGAGTGGCTCCTTGGAGGCAAGGATTCTGAGGCTCCGTCTAACATAGTTTGGACATGTTGTGAGGAGAGACCGGTCCTTAGAGAAGGACATCATGCTTGGTAGGGTGGAGGGACAGCGCAGGAGAGGAAGGCCGTCTATGAGGTGGATTGATTCAATGACTGGGATAATTGGGATGGGAGTGTCAGAGACAGTGCAATTGGCACAGGACAGAGTGGAGTTTAGGGCTGTTATACATAGGGTCGCTATGAGTCGCAAGCGACTCGACGGCACATAACAACAACAACAACTTCTAATAAATAGAAAAAAAGCAAAGTGATGTAGGACTTGTAAGACTAGGTAAGACTTCTAAGACTAGCTTCTTCCTTGCCTTTCTTCTTTAATCAATGGCTCTTTATGCAGGTAGCTGCCACAGAAACACTCAAGGAGCTCTACAAAGTGGTGTGTAGAGCAAGAAGCCAGATCAGTCCATCTCTGGATCAAGAGTGTTTACCCTGGGGTCCCTCATCTCTCCTACACCTCCTCATTTCTCCTACCCCCCTCCTCACCTTCACCTCTTCATCCAATTTATGTTGTAGCTCTTCCAGTTTTCGAGTGAGCTCACTCTGTCCTGCCAAGGCCTTAGCAGGTCCAGGAGAAGCCATCTGCCAGAAACGTGAGCAGGGAGTGGGTCAATAGCCAGATCCTCAATAGCCTCAAGGCCCTAGCCCTACCCCTTGCTCTCACCCTAAGAAAAGTCACTCACCACCAGAGGTTGCATCTGCTCTAGCACCAAACTGACTTTTCTCTTCACAGAGGTTTCACTTTCTGAACTCCTGGAGGAGGAATGATGTACATTGCAGAGAAGGAAAGAGGCAGCAGAGATGAAGAGGAGGTCAAGAGGCAAGATAGGCAATGAAGCTAAAAGAAAAACACAGGATACATGCCTCCATTGTGGGCTGGCCCTACTCACCCCTCCCTCAGGATGCCATAGATGGTGGCCTTCACATGGTCCACACTGCCTGGGGGGGCTGCCTCCTGCTGGTCTCGAAGGAGATCTGGGGTTGATTTGAACTGCAAAGATAGAAATCCAAAGGATTTGCAAGATTAAGCCAGTGAATGTATGAGGTTTAGATGGAGCAGCAATGATGACGAGGCTCTTCAAACATTATGAACAAGCCCAAAATAGGGTTAGGTGGCAGTCTTCCTGAAGCCTGATCAACAAGCCTGGAGAGGTCCACACAGAATATATCTCTACTACGGTTACAAACCATAGTGAGTTCTGGCTTAGAGGTAAAGAGTTGCGCTGCCAACCCAAAGGCATGTGGTTCAAATTCTACAGCTGCTCCCAGGAAAAAGATATGCAGTCTCCTCCTAAGTGATTTATTGCCTCTGAAAATCCACTGAGGGGTTACCTTGATTCAATTCTAACTCCACCACAGTACATAACAGTAACAATGGTTACAAGCCAGATTTTCCTTGACAGGTAAATCTCAACCAGCTGTGAGCAGTGTCACAAGTAATTTGTCACCTCTTGTTGGGTATAGAGAGTTGGAACCAACCCACAGCTAGTCCTCCAGTGGATTTTTAGAGGTGGTAAATCACACAGGAGTTGATCGTCCATCTTTCTCCCACAGAGTGGCTGGTGAATTTGAACCACATACCTCTGCGTTAGCAGCACAATTCCTTAACATTAAGCCACCAAATTCCCTTAATTTGTCACTAATGGCAGTTACAGTACTAGAGTTGGGAAAATATTTCTTTTGAGAATGGATTCCCTTTTGTCTCTTGGTAAAGTCACACACCTAGTTAGCCTCATTGCAAAGCAAAGGAAGATGGTGGAGTTCCAGCCAGAGCTCCAGGAAACCTATCAGATCCCTCAATCCTGGCTTAGGCAGATGTGCCAAACTATGGTGGCTGAGACACAGCCAGTGGCTGGGGCAATTACATATTATTCTCCACATTCATAAATGTTATTTCACAGATGGCTTCACTTTCTTTAGAATTTTACCCATGGAAGTACCTTACACATGTGAATATCACCCATTAAATGAATGGATGAAATGAGGGAATGCAGGGAAAGACTTGTTGTTCTAGGTAATGTGCATTAGCAAAGTATGCCAAGGTTCATGGGTCAGACGGATGAGAAGGGGTTAGGAGTTGGAAGCTGGGAGGGCGGGAGTTCTGACCTGCAGCATGGCAGGGTCCTGTGCTCGCTCGCGTGACTCTTCAAAATTCTGCAGGACCCAATCCTGGGTCTGTCGGGAACGGCTGAAGCCACCGAGAGGGCTCTGGCTCTGGGGCAGCTGTTTTGAGCTGCTCACGTGGCTGTCATACTTTGTGCTAGAAGAAAGGTGATTGGGGGACTGGCGTTCCTGCTCCTCCACGAAGTCACGTGGAAGCCGGCTGTCCAGGCTCTGGCTCCGCTTTCGCTGTTCATGGGGCAGCGTCCGTGTACGGCGCCCAGTCCGGCCCCGGGTCTGGCCACCAGCCCCAGGTTGACTGTCAAATTTATTGATAAGTGAATCCACTGAAGACAAGGGCGCAGTGTCAATGGTGCTGGCTGGGGCAGGCCCCTGGGGGGCTAACTCTAGCAGACTGGTGCTCCTGTTGTTTGGAGCCATGGGGGCAGGGCCTGCCAGTGAGGCCTGGGACTGGGAACGGAGGAGCCTTCCATTCCAGTAGGTGCCAGGCTCCTCATCAGAAGCACTGCCCTGCGAGGTGGCAGGAAACCCCTTGGTCTGAGAGTAAGGGTTCTCAGGGAATTCTGAGTCAGAACTCAGAGCTCCAGCACCTTGGTTGCTGGACCCCTTGATTTGGACCCCAAAGGAGTCACCACCCTTCTCCCCACTGTTGAGCACCACAAAGGGCTGCCCAGCAATGCCCTGTACACGCACGGCCACCCCATAAGAGCTGGCTCTTGCATCCTTGGCTGGGCGCCGTCCACCACGGCGTAGGGTTCCTGTCTCAGCACCACCCACAGATTCTGTGATGAAGCGAATCTGGACTCCATGGTCGAGGGGACCCCGGGGCTCGGCCATGGTGGCTGCTGGCTCCACAAATAGAAGGGGTGCTAGAAGAGAGAGAAAGGAGTTTAAATATTTTAATTGAAGAGCCTTGAGATGGAAATCCAGCATCACACACCCACCCACACCCTCCTCCAGCTTTAGTGGGGCTGACTGCCTGGTCAGTTTCTTCCACACATTAACTCAAAAAACACTCAAACTCATTGAGGTCCAGTTGTACCCCTCCAGTCCACAGCTGACCTTCCGGTGGGCTTTTGGAAGCTGTAAATTTCACAGGAGAAAACTGTCCATGTTTCTGCCATGGAGTTGGTGGATTCGAATCAGCTACATTCTGCTTAACAGTGCAAGTCCCTATAGGATATGTCACTAGAGCTCTCTAGATGTAGAACAGCACTCTATGTTTAACTGGCAATAGAATCACTGGAGGGCTTATTAAAAAATAAAGACAGCTGGGTCTACCTCCATAGCTTGAGTGAGTACGTCTGACTAGGATCTTAGAATTCGTGTTGTAACAAGTGTGAAGATGATACTGATACTGTCGGATCAGACCATATTTTGCAACCCACTAAGTTACTATTACTTATCTTTTTGTCCCTATGGAATTTGGAACTGGCATATGCCAGGGATGTGTCCTGTCTCCATAACTTTTCAACCTGTATACTGAACAGATTATCCGGGAGGCTGGGCTCTATGAGGAGAAATGTGGGGTCAAGATTGGTAGAAGATCTATCACCAATCTACGATAAGCAGATGACACAACCCTGCTTGCTGAAACTGAGGAAGACCTGAAGCGCTTGCTGCAGAGGGTCAAGGACTGCAGCCTCCAAAATGGATTGAGGCTCAATGTCAAGAAGACAAAGATTCTCACCTGGCAGCATCAGGATGGATGGTGAAGAGACTGAGATTGTTCACAGCTTTAGTTTGCTTGGCTCCACAGTCAACACTCTTGGCACCAGTAGCCAGGAAATTAAAAGACTTATCGACTTATCGCCATGGGAAAGTCTGCTGTTAAGGACCTCTCCAAAGTACTGAAGAGCAATGGTATCTCTCTGGAGACTAAGGTGCGTCTGATATAGGCCATGGTCTTTGTCATCAGTTGTTATGCATCAGAGAGTTGGACAATGACTAAGGAGGATAGAAGGAGAATTGATGCCTTTGAGCTTTGGTACTGGAGAAGAGTACTGAGGGTACCATGGACTGCTAGGAAAACAAACAGATTCATCCTGGAAAGGGTTAAACTAGGAGGCTCCTTGGAGGCAAGGATTCTGAGGCTCCGTCTAACGTACTTTGGACAAGTTGTAAGTAGGGACTGGTGCTTGGAGAAGGACATCATGCTTGGTAGGGTGGAGGGACAGCGCAGGAGGGGAAGACGCTCTATGAGGTGGATTGATTCAGTGACTGGGGTAATCAGGATGGGTGTGTCAGAGACAGTGCGATTGGCACAGGACAGAGCAGAGTTTAGGGCTGTTGTACATAGGGTTGTTATGAGTCGCAAGCGACTCAACAGCACATAACAACGACAGCATGGATATATTATCTATTCAATAACAAGAAAATGTAAATAATATTTTAACTATGTTGATCTAAGAAGTCCCTCTACAGGTCTCCTGCTTGGATCCACAGTGTGAAATCAGAGTCAGCATATGTAATGTGTTCAAGGTATGCCGTTCCAGGAAACCCCAAGCACAGGGGGAAAAATGCAACTTCCCCACCCCTTCTGCTGGTCTCCACCAGAACCTAGCACTAAATTGGAGGAGGAGCCAGTAGAGTGCCAGACAGAAATACAAACATATGCAACTCAACCTCCCTGCAGAGCACTGGGCCAAGGAAACGTGGCCAGATTCCCAAGGCCCAGGAAACAACAGTGAGATAAGGAGAAAGGGGGTAGGGTGATAAGGAACAGCGGTTCCAGGTTATGCTGGACCTAGTGGGAGGAAGAAGCACCTGAGGAAGAGCACTCGGCATTCCTAGCCTTCTCCTCCAGAAGAAACCCCTTCTTGGCAGGGGCTCTTTGCCTTTTCGGCCCTGGGTCTGCATTTATGAAAATGATGAAAGCAATGTAACTCCTCCATGAGACAGCCCATAGAAACATCACTTTTAAAACTCATCCATGAAACACTGAAGACCCTGGTCTTCTGCTTTTTAGACACTGGGGTGAACAAATTTCTGACTTTGACTCTGAAACTTCTAATAACAGGACCCGTTGGCAGAGACCAGAAAAGATCCCGGGATGCCAAGGAGTTCTCCAAATCTTTTATCGAGAGGGAGCTTAGTACAGTTGAAAAGGCAGTGGATTGCAATCAGAAACCTAGCTGTGCTCTTTACTTGAAACACACAAAGTGAAATGGTAAAATCACAACTTTTCTGGCTATCCTAAAGATACTATCTCATTTAATTACCTATGAGAATTAGACAACAACATATTACACAACTGTCAAAACTTATCCAATTTTATGATTAAGATTTTAAAATATAGGAAATGGGAAAATATTGTATGTATTTTTCTTTCCAGTTTAAAGAATAGCAGTACTAATCTAGTACTATATTAATGAATAAATGACATAAACCAGAAAAAAAAAAAAAGATTTTGTTCTTTATTATATTTAAGTTATACTTCAGTATAAAGAATGTTGTTGCTGTTGTTGATTGCTGTCCAGTCGAGCACGACTCATAGCCACTCTGTGAACAAAAGGCCTGAAGCCTTTCTGTAACAATCGTCATTTATCAAAGTTCATAGAGTTTCCCCGAAGCTTGTTGTTTAGGAAGTGGATGCCACTCCTGCTTCCAAAGTATAAAGAATACAGATAAGATATTAAGCATATAAATGAATGAATGGAAACCCAAAATCTCTGTAAATGTTCATTAAAATTAATAAAATTTAATTTAAAAAAAGATATTAAGCATAGAAAGTATAGATCACAAAAAAAAATGTTCCTCATCCTACTTTGATGAGCTGCTATGAGGATATAAAGTAACTACTGTTCTCTCTGTCCAGAACAATGAGTGAAGAAAATCAAAGATAAGGGTAACAATTAGTTCAAACTGTCCACTAGTGAACATGACCCTCAACTGCCACAAGGGTGAAACCAGAAGATGGTCCTCAGCTCCCACTGCTGACTGCATGGGAAAGGGTCATGGGAAAGGGTTCTTGAATAGAGAGGGAGAAAAAAATAGAAATAAAACTCAAAACCAGGAAAATGGCCACACCAGCTAGTTTATAAAAATGACTGGTGAACCCCCAAAACTATGGTCCTTAGTCATCCTTCAAACCTGGAAAAACTTGTCCCTATGGCTCAACTTTCAGACAAAAATTAGGTAGGCTTACAAGGTGAACAGTATCACTATGAAGGTACACACTCAGAATCATCAGTCAGACAAAATAAAAAATTCAATTTTGCCTATGGAGAAAGCTCTGAAGACAAGAAGGTATAGAGTAGAAGGATGAATGGAAATGAGAATCATAGTGAAGAAGCAGGAAGACTATCACAATATCATAAACAAAATTTCTAAGAATGCTCTGTAAACTAATTCAAAGCACAATTTTTTAAAGTACATAACAGGTCTATTACAAAATTGACAATAAATATTATCTTTATACATACTATTCATAAAGGTTCCTAAAAGGATGTCACTTCCTCACAAAAAAGGCTTCCTTGACACCCCTTTCTTTAAGCTAGGTCGGATTCATGTTATTTCCTCTGCAGTTGCCCTCCCATGAATGAATCTCTTTTTTCTTTTTTATTAATTTTAATGAACATTTACAGAGATTTTGGATTTCCATTCATTCATTGTTGTACTTTTCTCCCTGCCCACCCACCCTCCCTAATCTCTTTATTTTTATAGATATATATGGAAGTGATTATTTGTATCTTGTCTGTCTTTGCTACAAGAGTTAAGGCTTCTGGAAGGCAAAAACCATAGCTATCAGCTGACTACTGTGTCCCTAATGCCTAGTACAATGTCCAAACCCAAAAAGCACTGCCATCAACTCAGTTTCAGCTCATAGTGAGTGACAGATAAGGAGAGTTACATAAGTTTCAAATCCTTACAGAAGCAGACTAACACATCTTTTTCCCAAGGAGAAGATAGTGGGTTCAAACCACTGACCACTTGGTTAGCAGCCAAGTGCTTTTACTTCTTTGCCACAAGGAAACACAAAGGGATCCTGATAAATATTTCTGAAAGGATTTATCCTGAATCAAAGCAAACCTGTATACCAGGCAGGAAGGTTTGCCTTGCAATTTTACACAACCATTTCTCATTTTCCCTTGTAACAAGACCTCTTCTTGGCCTAGACTCTGTCACACTCATTCACGATTTTCAAACTGGATGTATGTGCCTAGACTGTCAGCTCTCTGAAGCCACATAATTTATTCACGATGCAGTTCTACCCAGTCAGTGCATCTACTAATCTTCCAGATCCAGGTCAAGGAGTTCTAGCCTACACATCACAGAGGGCATAGCCCCCCTGGCTGGAAAACCAGGCTGAACCAAGCGCCCTCCCAGATCCCGAAGTGTTTCTCTAACTTCAACCATCTTCAATCCTGGGACCTGCTGAGTAAGGGGACAGGAGGATTGGACAGATCTTTGAGAAGGGTCAGAGAGCAGGGTTCTAAATGATTCAATATGGAAAACCCGAAACCTATACGCCCTCAGTTACAGAAGACCGGAGGGTGGAGCCAAAGGAACAGGGCAGCTAAGGAAGGACCTTGCATAAGCTCCAGCGGCAGGTAAACAGCCATCCAACACCAGGCAGCGTAGAGTCCAGATGCCTGACCCCACATCTCCTTTACTAGCATATGCCCAGGGCTCTCTCCTCCCAACTGTACAGCCAGGAAGAGGTCAGGCCATGGTTAATTCTACACACATCTGTCTGCCTCTGCCATTCCTGCCTGCAAAGAGAAAGAGGACACCCTCCACCTGTTCCAGAGCCACTTCTCCTGAGTTACTCATTAGCCTGCCCTGCCCCAATTCCATCACCTCTGGCCCAGCCATAAGCGTCTGGCATCCAACTGGCAGTGACAAGGTCCCTGGACTCCT